TTCTAGATTTATATATTAAGTTGCTCAAGCAAGTGGCGAAACATTTTTTTTTACTTTTCTTACGTTATCACTAACTTACCATTGACAGAAATAGTCTGCTCTACTGCCTTTCCTTTTGCATTTAAATCTTTATTACCATCTAAAGTGCCATCTATTATTGCCTTGTTTATCTAAAAGTGCTCTTTTCCTTTAAACCCAGCCAAAAAGCCATATGTGTTGACTGTGAAACACAGTAGACTTTAATAATATGCATTTATGGTGTAATTACTACATGTTCGTGTCAATCCATGTTCATATTTACTGCAAACAATGCGCTGTTACTTTAATTCAGGGCTTGCAGCGCAGCAAAAATAGACTCGGTGTGGAAACGATCTCTGCACTGCTGCAGACGCACCGCTCCTGAACGCACTGCCGGACCGCAACCGTGTGCGGTGAACGCTTTAATCCGTTAACATGAGCGTGGAAAAAATACGCACCACGTATGCACTGCAACCGGAGTAATGTGAACCTGGCGTTGTGTGTGCGCTGCGAGTGTGCATGAGCGCTAGTCTCCAGGAGAGCGTGCGAGCGCTGAATGGTTAAACACTGGCAAGAATTAAAAAGAAATGCCATTTATAAACTTTAGTGACGATGCGACACTGCCTCGATTGTGCAAGTGACAATTCCTGTGTCAACTGTGTAGCGTGCAGCTCGCCTATGGACAAACGCGATGTGGTGATTTGAAGCCATTTGCGTATTTTGAGAGAGAAAGAGAGAGAGCGCACGCGAGTGGTGACTCACTCACTCCGTTTGTGAAATTACGTCTGAAACGAGGTTTTCAAATTACTTAAGTTATTTAATGAAGAAATATGAAGGCGAGTACCCCACCTTCAGCATTATAATTATTTCACCCGCGCTGGACAGAGACGGTGCCTCTGCATGTCATGCCAAAGCTCTCACAGCAGCGTCATCAGCTTGAGATCGGTTTTTGGAGATCTGCCTTTTTAGAGACCGCCAATCAAACATCCCAACGTGATTATCGGCCGATAGTGATCGGTAGCCGATCAATCGGAGCACCCCTAATATCCAGTCACAGAAGTAGAGAAACTCATGACCCTCCAGGAAGTCCCTTATATGGACAAAGGTATCGCTATTATAGCTGTAACTGAGTAAACAGAACATACAAACGTTTTGAATGATAAAACAAAGACAATAAACAATCTACTGCAACAATATAGTTTATCTGTGTAATTAAAGCCATCTCTGGTATTTTAATAATAATTAAGTATATTTATAATCCATTGCTAATCGATGTATTTTTTTAAAGTAGCCTATGGAACATATTTTCTGCCTCATTCTGTGACAAGAAGCCACATCAGATCACAAAAGGAAGCATCTGACTGGTGTTGTGGAGCAAAAAGGTTATAATGTTCTCTTTTGTTGGACAACAGGTTTAGAAATGTGAATACAAGGGAGGTTTAGCTTTAGGCATTTTAATTTAAGCATGTTTAGCTTAGTTAACGGAAGGCTAGCTGCTGCCATCAGAGCAAGTGTAATTACTGCATTCACGCGCTCCTCGATGCTCTCATTTCCCGAGTTGTGCTTTTAAGTCAGAATGTGAAAACAACATGGACACTCGCGTTACTACAGCGATGTGTTGGATTTGTATTATTAGAGCTTTCTGACTTGAGTTCACATGCATTTTCTCAGTCGGGAAATGATTTTTCACGTGCGGTGCCGGTGATGATGCTTCTTACGTCCGTTTCGGAGAATCAGAGGACAAATATTTCAATCGATGGCTCAGGCATGGCACCGAAATTTGCGTTCGGATTCGGTTCTATTACATACCGGTTACATGGGTACCGGTGCCATATTGGTACCGGGTTTCGGTACACAACCCTAGTAATGTAATGTACTGTGTTTTTCAGGTGGTCATTCGTCAGGGAGAGCTCTTGCTGGGAGTTCTGGATAAAGCCCACTATGGCAGCTCAGCGTACGGTTTGGTCCACTGCTGCTACGAGCTCTACGGAGGAGAGACCAGTGGCAAACTGCTCAGCTGTCTGGCACGGCTCTTCACTGCCTACCTGCAGCTTTACCGCGGTTTCACCTTGGGTAAGATCACACATCAATACTAGCTTATCTTGTTGAACAAACAAGGTAGAGTGGTATTTTATATTAAACTATGTATTTTTTTCTGACAGGTGTGGAAGACATTCTAGTAAAAGATGGAGCCAACAAACAGAGAAGGAAAATTATCCAAAAGTCAGTCACATGTGGCTCCAAGGTAAATCACTGAGATTGACCAGCTCATTCCTGTTTCATAGGACCGTTTGAACCGTGTAGCTTTCTGAAAAAAAATACTTGGGCTGTCATTTAAGGAAGAGTTTATTTAAAACGATATACCAGACTTTCAGAAATATGCTCTGGTCAAGCTTTAATGGATGAATTATTTGTAAAGTTTATTAATTATAACATGATTATTTACATATGGCAAGAAAATTAACAGGAAGGACAGAGCTAAAGTTGTTAAAGTCTCATTAAGAGAAATTACTTGGTTTAGTGAAAGTAATATTACAGAAGACAAATTTTAACCCTCCTAAGTTTTGGGGAAAAAAATGGTCACATGTTGTGTGTTTGTGTTCATTTTTGACCAGGAACAATAAAAGTGTAATTTTTTTTTTTTTAATGAATTGATAAAAAATTATAATAATAATTTCACTTCAGTAGTAAGTAACAATAAAATTATTCACTTTTTAATGTTAGGTCTTTAAGCTCGTTTATGTAAATTTCTCTATTGCTTATCAAGTACGCAAATCTTTGAAACTTTATTACAGTAAAAGTCTACTCATCTACTCAACTCAGTTGAAACATGAACTGAAGTGATCTGTGCATCCTGCTGCACAACTGTCCTAGATTCCATGCATATAAAATATACATTTTGGTATTTATTTCGAAATTATCCAAAGATTATTTGTCATAGTTTGATATAAACTTTTTTATTATTAATATTGAAGCATAATATTTGCAGTAATCTTGCAGTCACATACTCCCACTCTCTATTTCTGTGGATCTTTTGCCCTCTGGATGTTTTTTGTCTCACCCCTTCATTTATTTGTGTGTTCGTTCAACATTGTGCTTGTCTTGTCTTAAACCAGAGATTCATATTTTTTTACTTTCTTGCATGAAAACAGGCTCTCCAGGCTGCGTTTAACCTGCTTGCGGCTGCTGGAGACACTGAAGCCAGAGAACGCTGGCAAGACGCACATCTGAACACAGACCAGAGAGATTTCAACATGGTGGACCTGAAGTTTAAAGAAGAGGTCAATCAAGTGAACAACAACATCAACAAGGTGCACGTCTATAAACGGGACATCTTGAAATTGCAGAGCTTGTGTTTAAAGTGTTTATTTTGTTTCTCGCTGTGGAATCATAAACTGTCTTTATGTCTTGATGGGTTTCATCTCTTGTGATCTGTTGTAATCAGGTGTGCATGCCGCTGGGTCTCCACCGCTCCTTCCCAGAAAACAACCTACAGCTGATGGTGCAGTCAGGAGCCAAGGGTTCAACTGTAAATACTATGCAGGTAACGTTTCCTTCATTATCTGAATACAGCAGCGTTTTTTATTTTTATTACTTTTACAGTGTTCCTGTGTGTCTTTAAAAAGTCTTAAGATATTCAATTTGATCAAACTGATTTTAAGTCTTAAATGGTATTACAAAAGTTTTAAATTTCATTTTAGGTGGTCTTAAATTTGGGAACAGAAAATCATGAATGTGATAATGTTAAATTCTGAAGTTGATGATATTATTAATAAAATTTGAGCGCTGCTCAAGTCAAATTGCAGAGCTGTTGCAGTCTGCAATCAATGATGGCCGCTTTCAAAACGGCTTTGTTAAGGTTCAAAACCTTTGTGTGTTTTGAAAAGCTTTGTTTCTCCCATCACTACAGCACATTTATGCCAAGTGATTGTTAATGATCTACTGTTGATGAATTATGACAATGATTGGGTCCGGTAATGGCAGATGTTAGCATGGCATGTTATTCAGCCGTGATCTTCCTCTGAACCAAGTTCCTGTGTATGTGCAGATCTCCTGTTTATTGGGTCAGATTGAGCTGGAGGGTCGCCGGCCACCACTGATGCCTTCTGGGAAGTCTCTGCCCTGCTTTCAGCCCTATGAACCTCAGCCGCGATCCGGAGGATTCGTAACTGGCAGATTCTTGACGGGGATCAAACCTCCTGTACGTTCAGACTGGACTGTTCTTGATTGTGAATGCACAGCCTCGTTAGTGTCCACACTTAATCAAAAGGGTTTGTTCAAACCCTTAACCCCAAGGATTAAACTCATCCTGCATGGTTAGGGCTGTGGACATAAATGATACCTCAAATCATGTGGCTTGTCAGGGTGAACACACTAGCAACCCTGTAGTAACCATCCTAGCATTATGGTGGCCTGTTTTGTACAGTCAAGCACCACATTTTTTTTCCAGAAAATCTCAAAATCTTACTTTTTAGAGTAATATTCGTTTTGTGTGGAAAATTTTAACTGGTATTATATTTAACTGGAGGCTGTCTTTATGTTTTCAGGAGTTCTTTTTTCATTGTATGGCTGGTCGTGAAGGTCTTGTGGACACTGCTGTCAAAACCAGTCGATCTGGTTATTTGCAGAGGTAGATCTGGTTCCGACTGAAAAACGCATTGTCTAAAATCCCTGTGATATTCTTGTATACTGGTTCATTGTATAATGACATATACCGTCACTGGGCGTTTCAGGTGTGTGATCAAGCATCTAGAAGGTCTGGTGGTCCAGTATGATCTGACTGTGCGAGACAGTGATGGAAGTGTGGTCCAGTTTCTTTATGGAGAGGACGGCCTGGACATCCCCAAGACCCAGTTCCTACAGCTGCAGCAGTTCCCTTTCATCAAAGACAACTACGAGGTAACTGTACAGTAGGCTATTAAGTATTAAGTACTTAAAGTCCCCATGAAATCAAAATTAAAGTTTTTTTGGGTGTTAGTATCAATATGTTAGTCTTAAGGTAATCTATAAGGCAGTGTGCTCCAAAACAGTGACAAAATTCGCATTTAGAAGATATAAGCATTCAAAGCTTGCAGTTCGTCACTTCCGCCAAAACGGCTCAACGATTTTTTTGACGTCACATCGTACTTCAGCTTCTCATCAAACTTTCTGTCCAATCAAATGCTCTCTAGAATCCGAAGGGCTCGCCCCCTACACTATAAAATAGACGCTGAAGCCGCGGCTGAAATCGGTCACTTGTCCACAGAATTAGTATTTTCTGTACAGTGAATGAATGGCATGTAGTGCACTATATAGGGGACAGGGAACGATTCAAACAGTGTAAATATGCTTCCATTGAGGAAAA